AAAATTATTTTTATAAGATTTAAATTATACACAATTTTAATTTTTTTTTAATTAAAAATTCTTAATACTCCTGAATATTTGTACAGTAATCGTCCATAAAAGATGCATTCTTCAATTAAGTTATTCTCTAGTTATTCTTTAGCATCAAATCTCTCTATAAACAGAAAATTTATACGCAGAAGTGCCTTAAAACCGCGTAAAACATCACTAAAATCTATATAAATTGCGTGAAAGTGTTCTGTAAGAGAAACACTCCTTTAAATAATCCTAACTTTGCATTGGAAATTTAAGCGAAAAACATTTAAAAACTATAAAATTTTCGAACGATATATCGGATAAATTAATTGAAATTATTTAAAATCCTTAATTTTGATAATTTTCTATTTAAAATAACATATTTTTTATAATAATTATATAAAACTTTTAGTCATAAATATATATATTGTTCTATATTAATTACTATATTATGTTTATGTTATGTATTGTTCAATATTAATTATGTGTATGTATGTATATATATATATCAATATTAATTAAACATAAGCAGTTTGAATTAAATCACAAAAATTCATACAAAATACCATTATATAATTTTTAAAAAGCGCATTAAATATTAAAAAACTAATTTAATAACTTTAAAAGAAAAAAAAGATGAAAAAATAAGGAAAAAACAATCAAACGAAATTTATTTTTTGGATTAAAAAATGCTAATTATCTACATCCTCCCGAACTCGTCCAAAGAAGAGAGAGAGGAGAAAAGCATCCTCTTCTCCTCCTCCTCTTCATCCTCTTCCTATTGCAAAAATATAAGAAATATTTATATAAAATGTTTTAATATAATCAAATACTTTTTCATATTGACTAATTATATATAAATTAATAGTATTTTTCTAGAGAAATGGATCCAAGTTTAGATGAATAGAAGAAATATTCATAAACGAATGTTTTGCTGATGATCATAATATAAAATGATTATTTAAAGTATAATAGTTGAACAATCGGTTGTAATTGCCTGGAGCTAGTACTAAGGTTTATCGGACACTATTTCCTGGAAGAAAATTACGGACGATCGAAGCTTAAAAACGTTTCTTAGGCGCTGCAAACCTCACAACTTAGGATCTGTCTCATTTGTATTGCAAATGAAGAGCAGAGTCATTCTCTGAGGCAAGAGCGTGCAACGTCATAAATATGGCTCTCTTTCCAAAACCTTTAAGGAGAATCGATATAATTTCTTTCTTGAGTATCTCTATCTTACTATTTTAAATCTTATCTAAGTTTGATATAAAAATTATTTCCAACTCTTCTCTTGAGTCGATAAGATTAATTTTGTTTAATTTATATAAATATAGTTTGGCGTTTTATAAATGAAATTTTAATAATATTTAATACGTTTTCGGTATAATTTGTAAATTAAATTATATAAATTATTTTATATCGTTTAATTGAATGGTAATTTAATTTTTATCTTGGATAAGTTGTGCGGAAAAGTGCGATTTACAGGATGACATATAGTTACAATATGTTTTAACCTCGTAAACTTTAAAGAGAATTTTATAAATTGCAAGTTTATTTTTGTATATTTTAAAAGAATATTTTAAAATAAATACGTATAATTTTCTTCTGAATAATTAGTTAAGTTAAAATTTAATAAATTATATAAAACTTATCCTTAAAATTTTTTAAGTTNATCACATGTTTGTTTCATATAGAGAGTACAGAGAGGCATGGAGAATTTAATTGGGTCCTGTATATAGTCAGTCTTCACCACTTTACATAAATAGTGTGTATATATATATATATATATACACATTTACACATTTTAGTATAAAAATAGATTTATATATTATATACTTAATTTTATTACTATAGAAGCATTGGGAAAAAAATGATGGGGAATGAAACAAAAGGGTAAAGATGCCAATACTTACGTTAGCATTGCCTAAAGGGGGAGGGATCGATCCAGATACGTCTCGCTTTGAATTAAGAGTAAAACGAACGTTGCTTGCAGCAAAAGCAAGACTCTCTCTTCCTGACATACCTCTCCTTTAATTTATATAGCTTCACATCACGTGGTATGAATGTAACGAATCAGGCACTCTTTCTTTAAATCTGAACTCCTAATTGGACAATTGAACGATGTACGATTGTGAAACTGCACTTATTTTCCATTTCTTTCAATTATAAAATGGAAAAAATGGGTCCTGTTAATTATATAGATATGAAATTTTTTATTTTCCAACCATTCTTGATGAGTTAATTACACTTAAAAGCTAATTTCTCTTAGAGTAACGAGGAAAAGAGAAATGTGACTTAAGAGTTTTAGTTCCTCTCCATCTTCTCCACATTAACCAGTGAGATGCTAAACCAAACTTGGATGATACTTGATAATGTCACTTTTTAATAAAATGGGATGATCTAGATTGATTTTATCCACGTTAAACTTTGGTAAGAGCAGCGATAAAGTTGTACGATGTGTAAAATGTTAATTTAATCACTAAATAATCCGTATACACTCACTAAATTAATAGCATATAAGTTCGGATTTATCTAACTTTTGGGGAAAAAAAAGATGTTGAAATTGCGTACAGAACTCTTTGATTAAAATTAATTCAGGGAATTTTAATATTCAAAAATCGATGAGTAACGCGAGTTTATTATAATAGTATCATTAGCAACGTTGACAAGTGCATACTTTGGATACTGTTATCGTTTCCAGATACGAAATAATTAAATAATCAACTAGAATAATTCATAATTTTCAAATATTAATTGGATGTATCATCCGTATCAAACCAGTTATAAATTGTATGAATTATATAACATTACACATAATTAGCGAATTAATTACTTTATAAATTATTTATATATTTTTGTATATTTTCTCATACGCAATTAATAAATTCGTTTTATAAATCGTTAATTGTTTTATTCTGTTTAAAATGTATCAAAATTCTCTCGTTCGGCTTTTAATTTATGAATATATTAAAGATGTATAAATACATCACTATATCTGTGCAGATTTAACTAATATTTAAAATATAAAAAGTAACGTGTTATATTTACACACTTAATTCTCTTATTTATAGATTTTTTTTATTATAATGTTAATAAACTGAGAGACGTTAAAAATATGTTTTTATTTTTATATACACATCGATTATACAATCACATCTTTTATATAAATACGTATGCTACACACATATATATAGAACCGGATTTACACATATGCTAAACAAACCTACACACATACGCTAAACGCAGGCTTTCGTGCTTTTCAATTTATTATTTAAATGAAGGAAAGGATCTCTTATATATTATAAAACTTAGTTTAATTCGTAGACTTGTTGTGGCCCTACTAAAATCTAAGTCCATTCCTGGACATAGAATTTTGCTCTGTGTATGCTCTCTCTCTCTCTCTCTCTCTTTTTTCTCTTTCTCTGTTTCATTTTATATATTCAAAATATGTATATATATAATTACGTATACGAGAAATCTAGCTCCATAACTTACACGTTCATTAAAAACAACAGCCTCCCTGGCCCAAATATCGTCTCATACTCTGATAATTTCAAATCACTTTCTTTTTCAGACCAATTGATGGACATAGCAGTAGAAGAAGACCACACATTTTGGCAACAATCGCTCAACTAATAAATGATGAGAGAATCAAATCACATGTTTGTTTCATATAGAGAGTACAGAGAGGCATGGAGAATTTAATTGGGTCCTGTATATAGTCAGTCTTCACCACTTTACATAAATAGTGTGTATATATATATATATACACATTTACACATTTTAGTATAAAAATAAATTTATATATTATATACTTATATAAAGTAAACAAACTTTATTCCATATACTAATATAGAAATAAATAACAAAAATATAAGTATATTCCTATAAGTATGCAATGTTATAAATTATGCCTAGCGAGATATGTAGCGAGATACGTATGATTAAACGAGAACATTGAATTTAATGCAAGTACAGTATATTAGAACAAATAGTAAAAAATTTATAAATAAATGTATTTATATGTAAATAACTGTTCAAAATCTATTTTTAATAAGTATGACGAATAAAAAAACTACTCTTTCCAATACGTAACGATTAAATTGTAAGATAAATGGAACTTTCTTGGCTAAGTGCCAACAGGTACATATCTTACTTGGGTAGATTATGTGACAAGGTATACATATTTAACATAGTTTTCAATCATCCGATTACATATAGAACTTTGCACTCATTTGGATAAGAATGTATACATTTATAGTCTATAAAATAACGTTTAACAGATATAAAAGTAGCCAAATATATACAAGGATGATCTTATGTAAACTCTTCTTTATAAGGCAGCTATGTGAAAACATAGAGGAGTAAGGATGCGAGAATGATTTTGTGTAGAAACAAGCAATAACGTTTATTTATATGAAAGATTTGCAAAAATTTAGAGGAGCAAGGAGCACCTAAAATTATTTATATAAACAACGTGTAAAAATGTATAAATATATTAATAAACAACAAAAGTATACAGCCGTGTAAACAAGCAACATCTACGATTAAGAATTCAAAAAATAATTTGCAAAAATAATAATTTAAAAAAAATTATTTTATTTATTTATTAGTTATAATAAGAAGTAAACAGGGCATAAAACACCTACACAATAAGATAAAATAATTATAAAGACAAACAGTTTTTATGTAATTTCGACTATTCAATAATGAAACAAAAGGGTAAAGATGCCAATACTTACGTTAGCATTGCCTAAAGGGGGAGGGATCGATCCAGATACGTCTCGCTTTGAATTAAGAGTAAAACGAACGTTGCTTGCAGCAAAAGCAAGACTCTCTCTTCCTGACATACCTCTCCTTTAATTTATATAGCTTCACATCACGTGGTATGAATGTAACGAATCAGGCACTCTTTCTTTAAATCTGAACTCCTAATTGGACAATTGAACGATGTACGATTGTGAAACTGCACTTATTTTCCATTTCTNTAGGAATGCATTATAGTAGCTCATTGCTTCACTATATAAAATATTTTAAACATTTTCCAAATAATGAAGTATAGGTATGCAATATTGAAATTAATCATCTATTTGTTGAGTTTGTCCTCGGCTAATTTCTTGTCCTTAGGCAATGTCGTAACTCCGAGTTCCAGATTCCGTCATATCAATCTTACCCTTAGCTTTGCGTTCAGTCTATATACAATATGTAGCCATTTGTTATATTTCATCATGCTAAAGTAAATTAGAATATAAAATTAATGTGTAAAAATTTTAACAAAATTTCTGGTTAATTTAATGATATTTACTCACTTCTCGTGTGTTTTAACTTCACGCGATATTCACGTGCACGTGTGTCTGTTTAAACTTCACGTGTATAGCTCTTGATCCGTGTCTACTATCAAACTATTCAATTGTTTATCTCGTGCTTCTTACCCTGGCGTTAGTGTAGAAAGTCATACCGTAATCGTTCAATGCAGTATTTATGATGTTCTTTCTAATGTAATTCTCGAGGTTGATGCACTAATTATACACGTGGATTTACTTATTAAAAAAAAACACAGTGAACTATAAGCATCGATGTTTCATGTGTGGTTTTAGTATTTAAAACACTATCGATGTGTGTTCAGTAGGTGTTCGTCCGACCAATTAGAAATAATTAGTCAGATAAACACACACACAGGAGGCATGCAACTAGTGTGTGTGTTGGTGTGTTTAATAATTCTGCCACATAGAATTGCAAATAATCGATTTCCCGCTTGTAATATCCATATTTAAAACACTAACATTTTAAAATTAATTATCAAATGAATGTATATACAGTACGTCGATAATGAAGGAAATTTAAAGGTTAACTTTATAGTTAACAGAGAACAATAAACTAAATATAACACAAGCTATTATAACAATATGCGGAATGCAAGTTTGATGCATTAAATATTGTTGTAAAATAATTAACTAAAATAAACAATAATTATAATCATTGCCGTGTCATCTTTAATAGTTTATAATCCACTTATTGTTATTTTTTCTCTCTCTGTATGTCATTTATATATAGCCTACAGACAGAGCTCAGCAGGGGTTCATTTGGTCAAGACCATATACGTAGAGGGACGACAAAATTTAGTATTTTAAGTAGTTAAAAATATATATATATTTTTTTTGGCTTTCGGATAGGGATGATGCGCCATGTTGATAAGTAATAATACACTTCTTCACTTCTTCCAATTGTTGGATATATATACAATATATTTCTGCTGATAATGAATAAATTCTACCACTTTAAAAAATATATAAATACAGCCATAGCATATTACAAACACCAGAAATTATTATTTTTTACTGAAACTTACTTTAATAGGCTACAATAAAAAAATGCCTTCGTGTAATATAATTAAGCATTAATTTCATTTACTTCATTTTAAATTATATTTATCATTTTATAAAATATAAAACAATAAATCTTTTACTTCGATACACAAGAAGCTTCCTACACCCCCTTCAATATTGAGATCTACTGTAGCCCTATATGTGTATGTGAATGGCTCTCATAAATCTTGTAAGCAATTTATTCGTGTATAAAAACCAATAATTAAAATACAAGAAAGCCTTAATTATATATTGTAACTTTTGTCCGGTATTAATAAATATTTTAGCCTAAGTTTAAATCAAATATTGGATCACGTGACGTTCTAGAATGAAAAATTGTAGTATAATTTTGAAAAATTACTTGTATTCTACGATTACTTCTATAATATATATAATCTATTAATTAAATTATCAGTTAATCGCGAGTTAAGAGAATTGTATATTCTTTTGAATAATATATAGAAAAATATATATAATGATGTATGTGTGTGACTATCGCCTCCACATTTACATATAACAGGAGTGTATGCTGGAAGAGTGAAGTAAATTAAATCACGTGAAGTTGCCATATGTAAATGTTACGTGGCATATATAGAGAAGGGCACTTACATGTGATTGTGAAGCGTAACAGATGGACCAATGAAAAGTATGATTCTATAAACGTCTACGAGAGCGGTACATACGAATCGGTTTGGTGTCATGTCTACGCGAGCTCGGCCAAGAAAAAATGCTAATCCTCGACGTCTTCGAGTTAGAAAGCCACAAGAAATAGAAAAAATGGCAGACGAGAATGATAACTCGTTAACGTGCGAAGAATGTGGAAAGAATTTCGTTAGCAAGAAGAATTTACTATCTCATAAAAAGACTCACAGCAACGAAAGACCTCACAAATGTGTGGATTGCGGTCAGACGTTCTCGCTACGTAACACACTCGTATGTCACAGGCGTGTACATACTAAAGAGAGACCGTACACTTGTACTTTGTGTTTTAAGAGCTTCACACAGGCTTCTACGCTAAAGGCTCACGTCATCTACAAGCATACAAAGTCATTTCCATATTCTTGTGATAAATGTGGAAGAGGTTTCATTTCACCTGGACAGAAAGTCGATCATTATAGTCGTAAATTGTGCCATAAAAATGAAATGAGCTGTGATTCTAATTAATGACGCTTATACATAAATAATTATTTTGTTTTGCAGTAAAATACTGTTTTTTTCTCTCATTAATTTTTGTATAATTTATTAACATATAAATTATTTTAATGCAAGAACTTTTGTATAAAGTTAATTAAATTATAGTATTAACAATACATCAAACATTTGAGTCATAACATCCACTTATATTAAATGTTGGGTTTAACAAATATAAGAAAATATCTTTGTAAATAATTCTGTTTATAGGATATGAAATACTTCATATCTAAGTTATGATACGAATGTTATTAAAAATTTAATCTGAACTTTCATTAGTTTTTCTCAAGTTCTTTAGCATTGCATTTACATATTCTTGTGAATTACATTTTTTTTTTATATTTATTAATTCATATTGTTAAGCATGAAATATATTTTGTAAATATATATATATATATTTATATATCAATGCTATTTATCTAAAACATTGGAATTTTCTATCATTTACAGCAACATCCATTCTCATTCTTTTATAGGAATGCATTATAGTAGCTCATTGCTTCACTATATAAAATATTTTAAACATTTTCCAAATAATAAAGTATAGGTATGCAATATTGAAATTAATCATCTATTTGTCGAGTTTGTCCTCGGCTAATTTCTTGTCCTTAGGCAATGTCGTAACTCCGAGTTCCAGATTCCGTCATATCAATCTTACCCTTAGCTTTGCGTTCAGTCTATATACAATATGTAGCCATTTGTTATATTTCATCATGCTAAAGAAACTTTTATGTGAATTTAAAACAAATTTACTATTAAATTTTTACATTTAGGAATAATTGTATTGACTGAGTACATTTTTGATTCTTGCAATATTCCACAGTGATTCAGATTTTAAGAATATAAAATTTAACATTTATTCAGAAAAATGTTTTATTTTGTATTCTGATGTTTAAATTCAAATTTACTGTAAAAAAGTACATAAATATTTACTTTTATGTAGTTTAGTAAAATTTTTTATATACGCTAGTGTGCTTTTAGAATGAATGACAGTAATAAGTAGTAATTTTGATCATAAAAATTATAGCTCACAAATTACCTGTCTTAAGGAAATTATAAAATTTTGAACTATAACATATGAAGTATTGAGTACTTTAAAACTTATGCTTAATAATTATTTGGAAAATTATATACAAGTCATCAACTTATATAATTTATTCCAAAAGTTTCTGTGGAAGTTGAAATGTCAAGTCAGTCACATGATGCTTAAGTGTAAAAGTACATATATTTGTTGCAAAGGATAAAACTAAACTGCTTAAGAAAAAACTTTTCTGTTTCCACCATTTATTATGTAAGTGCAAAGTGGCACTTATTATATGCATTTTTAATCAAAGTCGAAATATCATAACCACATATTTTGTTTTTATAAATTGTAAATGGTGTTTTGTAATTTCTCAAAATAGAATTTATACAAAATTTGTAAAGAAATCTTCTTTCATATGTGTTGTAAATTTTTTTCAGAAAGTTGTAATGTATTCTGAGATTCTTACTCACAGTTATTTTATGAGGTTAAATTCATTTTCTTGTGTCATAAAAATTTTACTGTCAAATATTTTGTAATGAAGTCCTGAAAATCAATATTTGAAATTAAGTGTGATCTTAAAAATACACAAGATTTAGATGTTAATATATGTGATACTTCATTTATGTAAGATTTGAAGATAACTCAAATATATAAATTGAAGACGACATACATGCAAAGTTATTTCAATTTATTTTCTGTCAATGCAATGAAATTAATAATAAATATTCTTCTAAATTTTTAATATTAACAAGATATGAAAGAAATAAAATATTCATATATTTACCTAACTTTATACAAGGTTAACATATTTCCAGAAACCAGAAATTAGGAAGTATTTAAAATTTTCTACAATAATTAATGACATAATAGATCTAATGTTTGTTTTATGACAATTACTTGGTGAATAGCTGAAATGGTAAAGGCACAAGACTGTCACTATGGAGATTCACATGTAAGTCCAATAGAATTAATACAGATGCATCAGACTTCATTCCTACCCTGTTAGGCTTGGGCAAACTAATGAGGTACATGAAAATAAGTTATACAGAACCCACAGAATCAAAATAAATAGTTTTAATGCTAGATGTATTTGAAATAAAAAGATGTGCTTTGTATTTCTATCTATTTATGTCTTCAAATGAAAACACAGTAGTAATAAGTTTTTTGACTGAAAAAAATTAAGATAATGTTAAATCTATCTGAAATTTTGAACAAAGTTGTTTCATGTAATGAAATGAAGGTACAATTATTATTCTTTTATTAATTTGTTCTTAAAAATTTATATTTTCTTTTTTATATCATTCCATAAATATTTTTGAGATTTAAACAGAGCTATGCATCACTTAATGACAAGGATATGTTCTGAGAAATATGTCTAAGTAAACATCAGTTTACTTAGACAAACCTTTACGATACAGTCTACTATTCATGTAAGTTTTATGTAACAAATGATACTTATTTATGCATTAAACATAGAAAAAGGTACAGATAGCTACAAATTTTTTGTGCCATTATAATGTTATGGAACCTCTCATCTATGTGGTCCATTGTTAAGTGGTTCATACTTGTGTAATATACATATCAAAATTTCTATTTCAATGTTTTTTTAATTATAAAATTACAAATTATTTTTAACCAAATTTTATTTATAATAACAACAAAAAATATACATTTCTTTATTTAATTTACAAAATAAAAAATTCTTGAACATTTTAAATTATGTGGTATTTGCCTGTTCAGTTTCATATAAATACAGTTTTTCATTTTTCTGCAAAATTTCAAATAAGTTATATCATATCTAAAATAAAAAAGTATTCTTTGCACTTAAAGTGACAATAATTGCATATTTATTAATTATATATAAATTACGACTTTACACCTTCTAACAAAAACATATTCGGATAGAATCGTAAGCCTTCTATCGAGTCGTCTCTGCAAGCTATGCCATCTTTTTCCGCTTGGAGCAACCTGAAATTTTATAGCTTTCCAAATAAGATATATTTGAATTATGTTAAAACAAAGCTTAATAAATATAAAAGATTTACCTTTCTCTGGCTAAGATTACAGTCGTGTTGAGAATACGAGAGAGTTCGTCGGCAGATAAGCACGTGTGTTCCGTCAGCTAGAAATTTTAAATAACTTTAATATTTGAATGCAAGTGATAATCTTGAACTTATAACAAAAACTTTTATGAAAATGTAAACATAAAAAAATGTTCATCACAAGTTTTTGCTAATAAAATATTTTTATTGCCTGTATCATTTTCATTGCCTTGTATCAGATTTAGGCTCTCCTATTAATATTTTTATACAATTAAACATCTAAAGAACGGCCATTCAAAGTAGCCGTTGTTTGGAGGTTATTTTATATGCATTTTTGTTAAAAAAAAAAAAAAAATACAATAGTTGTTGTTTAGAGGTGATCGTTATCGAAGGTTCTGCTATATTATTATATTAAATATTACTTTGTGTATGTGTGTTTAAGTAGCGTATAACTCTCAAATTTGTTTTATCTTATTTTACGAAAATTTTTAAAAATGATTCAATATTTACATGTTATGTTTGCAATCATTAAACGATTGAAAGCGAAACGGGTATATTTTCTATGGATTAAATTAACTTTTTAAACGAAATGAAATATTATTTTTAATGCATATTTTAAGAACTTTTTTATATATTTGTTTATTTAATATACTGTTTAATATAGGCTACAAATATTTAATGTAACACATATAGAACTCTTTAAACGCTTACTTTTAATTCTTTTACAAATGAAATATATTTAAAGAAAGTATAAGTTAATTTTAAACTTGTATTAATCGATTTTTTAAATATATTTTTTATAAGGTAAATTTTGAATTAGTTACCAGTAGTGAGATAAAACTATCAATAAATAAGCTTGCTTTAATTTATTTGTACATTAGAGGAAACAGAAGAAAATGATAAATATAGATGATTTTTTGCCAAAATTTTGTTCTAAAATGCTTTAAAATAAATTTTTAAAATGTATATGTTTTATCTAATGCTTAGATATAAAAGACAAAAACTACAATAATCCATTTAAATTTGCAACATACCTTTGATAAACCACACTTTTTAAGTGTTCTAAGAACCAAAAATCGCACGAATTAAGACCCAAAGGGCCAAAAGTGCAGTAGTAAATGANAATGACAATTTCTTTAGAATTGAATTTTTCACTTAAAAAAATATTTAGAATTGACTTAACATGCCATAAAATCTATAAGATATTTTTATGTTTAAGAAACAGTAAGTATTAGCACAAAGTTAAAACAATCATCTAACCATCAGCCAAATTAATCAGGCAGAATTATGCTACAAAATTTCTAAAATTCTAATATTCTAAAATTCATTAAGAGATGGTGCCTAACATCTACCTCTAGTTTCCTAATCATGTAATTTCTAATTAATTTTTGTAGCATAATTCTGCCTGATTAATTTGGATGATGGTTGGGTGATTATTAATACATTGGATTCTTGGGTTGTTGTTACACACACACACAAAGTTAAAAATTGTGTAGTGCCATCTGTTATGAGATGTTATTAAAAAATAACTTTTATATTATTATTATTATTAATTATAAAAAAAGGAAAAGAGTTAATTTTGAAGGCAGAGATGATTTCTATAAAATACTGTAAATGCCAAAAAGTAAAATCTTCATTAAGTCCAACACCATTTGAGATATGACATGACCTCCCCAATATCTTCCACTCCCTTGATCTTCAACCACCAAAATTTAATAGCATCAATGTCCCTTATATACAAGTTACCAAGTAAAATTTCATTTCTTAATTTTTACTCCAATTTGACACACTAAAACAAGATAGATACCAACACACACATGGGAAATGTTTTTCTTTTTTTTTTGACTTTTTTAGGTTCAGGAGTCTCAAAATGTTGACATTTGTAAAAAACTGGAGGGTCAATTTTCACACAATTCCAATACTTTCTCATGTTTACAGTAATACCCCAAGTCATAACTTGGGGTATTACTCAATAATACTCAATACCTCAATAACTCAATACTGTATTTATTGTATATATATACAATGGAACCTCAGTATACGACCTTAATTTGTTCTTGATGTTTGGACTTATACCGAATAGGACGTATACCAAACCAACCTTTTCCATAAGAAGTAATGTAAAAATGATTAATCTGTTCTCATGTAAAAAAAAATGGCTGGCTTTAAACACCTCGCTTTCCTGGCTAGTTCCTGCTTGATTTTTCATGAGATCAGCATGTATCTTTTTAGCTTTCTCCCAAATAATTGCTTCTGATATGCTGTCTCCAGCACATTGTTTTTCAGTTATCCAAAGCAAAAGCAATTACTCAACATGATCTAATGTCTTCGATCTCTGTTTAGAAATTGATTTAACTCCTTTCGCAATGTTAGCAGATTTAATAATGTCTTTATTTTTTGTGATTGTCAATATTGTCGTTCTCAGAATACGGTATGCAACAGTTAAATCTCGAACATGCATGTCACCTTCATATTCCTCAACAATCTCTTTTTTCAGTTCCATTGTGATTCTAGTCATTTTATTAGTTTTCTGTTGCTTTTCACTTGCCTTTTTGCAATGCATGATTAATGAATAATAAAATTTTACTTACAGATTAAAATCAGAAGAAATTTAACAAAGTTATAAACCATTGCACCGCAAACATCTAGTCTGGTCTAGTACACTGATAGTGCTACTTGTTCATAGACGGTGCGTATAATTGAATTAAGTCGTATACTTAGCAAAATTTGTTTCGTCCAAACAGGACTTATTCTGAATTGGACGTATTCTAAAGCAGACGTATACCGAGGTACCACTGTATATAAGATAAATACAGTATTGAGTTATTGTGTATGTGTGTGTGTATATACTGGACATATATTATTTATTATTTTTTTTGTATAAAAGAACAATAGAAATATGAAGTACATATATANACAATTTCTTTAGAATTGAATTTTTCACTTAAAAAAATATTTAGAATTGACTTAACATGCCATAAAATCTATAAGATATTTTTATGTTTAAGAAACAGTAAGTATTAGCACAAAGTTAAAACAATCATCTAACCATCAGCCAAATTAATCAGGCAGAATTATGCTACAAAATTTCTAAAATTCTAATATTCTAAAATTCATTAAGAGATGGTGCCTAACATCTACCTCTAGTTTCCTAATCATGTAATTTCTAATTAATTTTTGTAGCATAATTCTGCCTGATTAATTTGGATGATGGTTGGGTGATTATTAATACATTGGATTCTTGGGTTGTTGTTACACACACACACAAAGTTAAAAATTGTGTAGTGCCATCTGTTATGAGATGTTATTAAAAAATAACTTTTATATTATGGTTGGGTGATTATTAATACATTGGATTCTTGGGTTGTTGTTACACACACACACAAAGTTAAAAATTGCGCAGTGCCATCTGTTATGAGATGTTATTAGAAAATAACTTTTATAACTTTATATTAATTGAAAGAGAGTTTCAGTTTGTCCAGTTTAGTTTGAGTAATTGGCTGGGACTAAAAATACTATTTGGGTTTCAAATTGAAGCTCTTACTGTGTAGATGATGCTGCTGAAGAGAGATTTTAGAAAGGTACAGTGGTTTAGGTGTAGCAAGATACATCGTTAAGTCTATGAGACAGACGTGTTGGATGCTAATGGAATTTGCTTGGCTTTACATTTCAAATGCAAAAAGCCAGTAGTAGAAACAACTTTCATTTTAGTGACTGTTATCATACACTGCATATCAGAAATATGTGAGAGCACTTCATCCTATACCAGAATAGTATCGTATGTATAACCTATATACTGTGTATGTATATAATTTATTTATTTATTTATTAGGGATATATATGGGAGGCATGATCAGGGTTTAGAAAGTTGCAGTTTGCCATTGTCAGTATAAGCAATTCCCAAAGTGATTAGAATAAGCAGATTATGTTGTATATAATTTTAAAATATAAAAGAGGGGAAAAAACGCTTGGATATGATACATGAATTAAAAACAAAAAATATTTATAAACTTAACAAATATAAAATTACAATCTTCAGTTTTATTTGATAGTCATACAAATTACATGGAAGTTAGAATTTTAAAACTATACAATATAACTGTTAATATTATTCATAAACGAATTAATAAAATAAGTAATGAAAGTTTGTCTATAACAGCAAAAATAAAAAATTATGGTTGATTTATTTATTTTTTTATATTAAACTTAACTTGTTCTTTGGCAGGCACTGTTCAAAGCTCTAGGATTGAATGAAGAAGACTTTTGCTTTGGCTTAACCAAAGTGTTTTTCCGTCCTGGAAAGTTTGCAGAATTCGATCAGATTATGAAGTCTGATCCCGAAAATCTTTCAATGCTCGTCAACAGGGTGAAGAAATGGTTATTGGCATCGAGATGGAAGAAAGCGCAGTGGTGTGCCTTATCTGCTATAAAACGTAAGTACTTTTAAATAAAATGAGTAAAGAATATTATCTATAAGCTCTAAATTAAGGATTCTCAAATGTGGCCACTGTAGTCGTCAATCTATTCTGCGCAATTCTCTAATTTAGAGTGTCAATTCTTTAAGTTTTTACTTGCTAAATAACTGCCATTTTGGATATATTTTGATGACTGAATTTCATTTATCTTAGATGATAAATGTCGTAAATGCAAATAAATGTGGTTGCTACCTTATGAGAGATCTTTTGTTATGCTTTCACACACATATGGCCAGGAGTTATTTTCCATACTGCAAATATTCCCATGATACATATTATGAGAATCCCTGATTTAGATAATGTACCATATTCTATGGCATACAAGATGCACTCTCTTTTAGCAAAGAATATTTAGGGAAAAAGTATTTAGTGTATTTACCTGAAGGCTGCTGGGTGATTCATTAGCCTGTGAGAGATCACAGCTTCACATATAAGATGAAGGGCAATTTTTTTAGTTTTTTTTCTGGATAAAGGTCAATAATATATATATTTTAGATGCTAAGAATGTAATTGGAAAACTTGGAATTTTATATGTAAATTATAAAAATAAATAACTTGTATTTTCACAATTTTAATTAGAATTTAATTTATTATTCAATTGATTACTGTCTAATTTGTAACTTACTGTGGTAAATTGCATTTGTAATCAAGTATCGTAATGATAATTTATCACTGTTATAGTTATTTTTTGCTTTGAATTTATTTATTTATATATTTAGAAAGTGAATAACATAAATATATGATACTTTTAATAAAGTTATATGAATAAATTTGAATGTTTATTTATAATTATGTATATGTTTTTTACAGTAAAAAATAAAATATTATATAGAAGAGCGAATCTTATAATTATTCAAAAAACTGTAAAAATGCATCTTGCCAAAAGGAAATATCGTCCAAGGTGAGTTACTTACAAGAGCGAATATTCTTTGAATGTTGCAATTTGAATTTAAAAAATAATTATAAAATTGTGTATTGTGTTAAATTTATTAAAAAATAAGTTGTTTGTTTTTCTGCATTAAAAATGGCCAATGAATAAATATTAAAAACAAATTATATTTAAATTAAAAGAATGTCAAAAAAGTTTAATACTTCATATCAATGGTCTACATTGAAAAAAAACCATAAGCCACAGGCTGTAAGTCATATATAAGCCAGAAAGTGATTTCTGGCCTGTATGTCAACTTTATACTTCTTAAAATCCAAAAATTCACAGGCTTTTACACTAAAAAAATTATTAAAGTCAGCATTTTTAGACTGTTAAGCATTTTAATTGTCACTACCCAAGTTTTTTTTTCTTCTCTGAATTGTTACAAATGTTGCATTAAAAATAACAGGAAATTGTCACTTAATTTTAAATGCTTTTCTTAAAATATATGATAAAATAGAAATATACAGAAAAATTTAGTAGTAGATTTCTCATTTTTATTTTTTCTTACCATAAAGAATGTCTAATCATGTATTAGTAGACACACAATAAATTATATGCAATTACTTTATTCAGTAAAATGACTGATTAGTGACTTCAATTAATAAATAATATTATTGATTATATTATAATTTTAATTGTATGCATGCCACTATAGAAATTAGTTATTAAAATAGTTATTTAAAAAGTTAATCATTTACCAAACTACTGGTTTATTTGGGTTATAATGATCTATAAATACAGTAAAACCTTGTTGAGTTAGCAAGTTTAATATCAGACTTACTCAAATTTTTCTGTGGTCGTAAATTTCCTGTTATCAATCTGTTTCTTGGGAATCTGTTTGCAGAATAATTACAAAATTGTATCCCCTTCATGACATTTTTGACTGTGTTGTGAAGGCACACTTTCGTGTTCCAATCAGAATGCCCGTAACACTGTGTCATTTTGATGTGAGGTCATAATGACATGTTTTGATCTGCACAGAGTGGTTGTGTTTGTTTATCTTAGTCGTCTGCATTCATGTGGAATATAAAAGAATGAGGATCACAGATTATCAAAAGGTGGAAGGAACATGGAAAAATAGGTTTGAATTAAAAGTACCAACAATTTTGATTCAACAAGATGTTACTATATGGAAAACTCTAATCCTATGCCAGGGAGCTTCGAGTTAACACAGTTCAACTTAGAGAGACTTTACTGTAGTTAATTAGTAGGCTAGTTATGACCCTAAGAATCTATCAGTTCAGATAAATATTATATATGATTAATTCTTATGGTTATTAATAATTAAGCTTAATTATTTATGTATGTATTAACTTACTTATCAAAATTATTCTAAATCTTAGGTTTCTGGCAATTATGAAGATTAAAGCATTACGGGAACAGTTAAAAAATATGTCAACCATCATTAATCAGCTGAAAAAGGATAAGCAACAATCCGAAGCACAAGTTCGCAATTTAGAATTTCAAATGAATGATCTTATAAATACGATCAAGGTATTTAATTTTATAATTAAAATTATTTCTGTTAACTTGCAACAATTTATTACTTGAGGATAAAATTACTAGTTGTTTTCGGACGTTCCAACACACAACTTACTTCGGTTCAAATCTTGAAGCACATGATTATTTGATAGTGAGCATTTAACTGCATACTCCAACCCAAAAATTTGAAGATTGGGTTTGTTTTATAATTCTGGCATAATTTTAATGGTGGGTATCTAAAAGGAACATTTTTAGTATATAATGCTGTTTTATTTTAAAAAAAAAACACAGTGCAAAACTGTAAAAAGTTATGCAAGGTGTAGGGGGAATGTCATCAAAAAACACATGTGCCAGAAGTAGTTACTAAAATTTCATTCATCAATGGGTTTTTCATCTCCAAGTTGTACCAGTCTGGCTAGATATGAGAGATTTGTAACAACTAACTTAAGTATTTAATTGACAATAATCCTTGTCACACAATGCCGGAAATTGCATTATTGAATATAGATATTTCCTTCCAGTAAAAATTTGCTTTCTATTTATATGGTAAAAATCATTTGGCTAACCAAATTTCCTGTGTGATAGTGAAATTCATCTGTGTGTAACCAGAACCGTAAAAATTAATGTATTAGAAAACTGTTATTGATTGATTTTCACTATTCATTGACACCTCTGCATGTACTGTGCTATATACTGTTTTTTCTCCTTATTTTACTCTCCTGTGCACTCTACAGTATCTGTGCCAGTTGCATAGATTAAAGAAGCTTCCACACTTGTGAGATAAGGGAAGTCTTTTGAATGAGTTAATTTAATAAGAAGTAATTTGTTCATCTATACTAATATTATAAAGAGGTAATGTTTGTATGTAAGTTTGTTTGCAGCAGGTAATCTCCAAAACTACTCATCCGATTTCAAAAATTCTTTCACCAATATTTAGAATGGAACTTCAGGGTGGACATAGGCTGTATATTATTCCGTTAAACATTCATATAAATTAAATTATATCATCTAGGGTTAAGGTTTTTATGTCCAACAGATGGTGCTACAAGTACAACGCCCTAAGTTTGCTTTTCTGTGAGGCATTATGCTTTTCTGTGAAAATGAACTAAA